ATATAATTTGTTTTTTATATTAAGGCTGAAGAAAGATAATTCGGACTGGGCACAAAAGAATATAGAAATATTGCTTAAAATGTCTCCATCTTCTCTCAAAATCACCAAAAAAGCGATTGATGAAGGAAAAGAAAAATCTTTAGCAGATTGTTTAAAGACCGAATATAGATTGGCATGTACTGCTTTAACCAGAGATGGTGATTTCTATGAAGGTAATAAGATGAAATTTTAGGTGCATCTTCCAAGTTGTATTCTTGGATCAATATTGTAATTCTAGGTGTCAGAGCTCTTCTAGTTGACAAAGATCAGAAACCGATATGGAAGCCATCATGTTTGGCCGATGTAACGGATGAATATGTAAATAAACGATTCGCGACATTTCCTGCAGAGAAGGAATTACAGTTGTGAACCAGCAAATTATGAAAATTAAAAGATATTTTTTTATATGTACTGTGGATATATATAAATATATATACATATTGTTATAGAAACAGGTTTCTACTTTGTTTTTAATCCTGATTTTATACAAAATGAGATCTATAGTAAAATCATTGACATTGTTAATTTTTTTCTTTTCTATGCTGTATTTCTACAAATGTAAAATTAACTTTATCTATTCAATTTATTTTTTATTTTTTCTAATTTTAAGAGTTTAATTGAGATTAAAATTAATCTTAAATTGGTTAATCTCGTATATTTTTTTTATTTTTGTATTAAAGGATTTAATTTAGAAACTTGCTGGACTATAAATACCAATCTCACTCTCACACAAAAAAATTAGAGGAGCACTTTAAAACCGCAAATTTGTTGATTTTAAGAAACTAATATCTCGGTTTTCAGGAATCACAGAATATATTTTTCTTGGCGCGTTTTAGCCTCTACTTTCAAATGGCTTAAGTAAAATTTTCTTGTTAAACTGTTTTTTTGAAAAAATGGAGTGTAGAGTCTTGAATGTCATGATATTGCAGCCTTTCACGAGCAAATCAACAACGAGGTGAAAAACGTCACCAAATCAGTTTTAAAGCTGAGAATTTTTTCTTTAAAATAATGAAAAGAAAATTGTTCCAGCTTTTCTAGGAGCTGATCGAGTTATACGTTCCAAAGTGGATCCTATATTTTGCAAGATTTTAGTTAAGTTCCGCCGGCATTTGCGTCCGAGGCACCACGAGGATGTTCCTCGGAGTTTGCACATCATGTTTGTGTGTGCGTGCGTGCGTGCGCGCGTG